AGCTTAAAGAGATCCAAAACGAAAGTGCCCACCGCCGAATTGCAAGCTAGATCAGCCCAGCAGACTTCAGAGAGGTTAGTCACCCAGTAGTAGACACCTATTGGCAGCCTGAGTACGAATAAATTCAATAACCTTCCTGGAGATACTTCCAGAACTTTGATAGACCACTACAACTGTAAACTGAGCAGAGGAAGTGCACACAATAGTCGACAGGGCTTCAACAGTTTGATCCGGCGACTGAAACATACAGGTCCGCAATATATCAAGTTTACACCTCACATAAAGAGCGACGCCCCACCTTGGCGGCCAACGGAGCGATCACATCTAAGTAGTGCGTAGCCAGATAAACAAACTTCACCGTCTGTGATATCCGGGGACAGCCACGTTTCGGTGATAGCAAGTATGTTGGGACGAAATTTGTTTACAAGTATACCCACCTTGTGTACCTTGTTCCTTAGGCTACGCACATTACTAAGCACTACCGGAAGGAATTCGGCCCGATCAGCCCTGGGTCGCACGCTACCAGGGGGGGTTCTGGTAGGGCAGAATTTGACTTCGGCTGACCACCTGAAAACTTACAAAGCTTTGCTCACCAGCCGCCCGCCTGCTAATGATGTTCGAACAAAGGATCAAAGCAGTCGATAAGGCGTCGGCATGTTTTCCCCAACCATGCGTTCATACGATGTGCATGGACGTGTGATTCGTAAAAAATGGAGCCGTACTCGGTTCTTTCAGATAGAGTTTGTAATCTCAAACTTACTAACTCATCATCCACCAGCACCCATGATTCATAGTGACACTCCATTTAAGGTAGTGCTTCAGTGTTACTGGTGCCCTAAAATTACCTAGCCGAACTATTCCAAAAGATTCCGATGAGCAAGTGAGTGTATTGAAGTTTTGTTGACTACTCGGATGAACCACAACGTACGGGAGTTGACGAGAATCGACATTAGCCCAGGCAACCCGTTCAATGATGATAGGTAACGTTCCAGATAGCACTGAAAATGCTGCATGTTTGAGAATAAGTTCAGCTGACAAGAATATCAGAGATTCGGCTCATCGTCGGAGAGTAAACGTGAGTGCGCAATGTGATGTAACTGGAAGACGGGCAGGTAAACAAGAAAAAACGGATGTTATGCGTTAATGTGCGTCAGCAGCAGCTGATGGTGGATGTGCGTCAGAGAATTTGGCGCAGAAAGTAAAAAGTAAAATAAGTGTTAGCAGTACGTCGGCACATCGTACCGATGTTTCGCCGCTACGTGAAGCCCACAGTTGCGCGTGGGCGGGGTATACCGCAAGATCGCCCGCAACTAGGCGGATGTGAAATGGTGGTATTCCAATGACAAAGCAGGCGTAATCCTCTCGGCCGCCAACCGACTAAGAACGCGAAAATAATAATAATAATAATAATAATAATAATAATAATAATAATAATAATAATAGTGTCAGCTGTAAGCCATAATGACGCTTTTCGGCCGTGCGACCACTAACAGTCGCACGCGGGCTGTGTATACCGCAAGGACTCCCATCCCTACGCGGATTCGAACCCGCGCCGCAAGACTACGAGACAAGCTCGTTACCTCTAGCCTACGGGCCGACATATGCATTAGACAACAGCCCAACTAACATCTTGGGTAAGGCGGGAACGCATTCTTGTAAATAATGCACAATTCTGTTATGGAAGGGTAGCGATAGCACATGAGTCAAGTATCCATGAAATGCAAGCAAGATCTCGCGAGGAATACAGCGACCACAGCCTCATTGCATTAATAAACGCCTTGCGAGTCGTGGTGTTTACATCTGATAATAGATAGTAGCGCTAAATGCGAGCCAAGCTTTGAAAATAGGATGTCCCGCTAAGCATTTCATTTCGTTCGATGACCCGAGTCAAGCGCCGGATATGCGTTTGAACGGAACAGCAATCGATACTCATGCTGACAGACGAATAGGGAGGTGAGCCGCAAACCATTGGAAAAAACATCGCAGTGAAGCTGGACTTTGTCGTAGTGCGATGGTTTGCGTGCCTCAGTGATTCAATGAGTTATACTTGGTGATGCTTTTTGCATCTTCAAAGCCACTCATACCAGATTGGTCAATGGTTAGTCGGCCGGTGGCCGAGGGGTCCGCGCGCCTGGTATGTAACCATAAAGTCACCGGTTTAAATCCGCGTAGGGGTGGGCGTCTTCGCGGTATACTCAGCACGCGCGCGACTGGTGGTGATCCAGCGGCAGCGAAGCGCCTTTACGGCGTACAGCTGACACATTGTTTCTTTTTACATTGGTCAATGGTTAGATGCAAAAACAGTCTCCTGGTCCTACAGGTTGAAGGTTGGAAAGAGGATGGCTCCTTATTCATTAAAACGGATTGCTTGTAGCCCACAGCCAAACTTGCTGCCTTGCGGTCAGGTAGTTGAACCAAAGACTGGTTGAGAACCCTAACAGTTCACCTGTTTAGGCCCGGGCAACCTAACATTATCCTACCAATGCAATACAATGACTTTACCTTCAAACAATTCCTTGATGCTCTAGCCGTCGCAGAGGATAATTAACGGCGTCCTATCTGATGCGTCCAGCAGCAGGTAAATCTCATGTGGTAAGTTCAACAGCCAACATGAACATGGGGTTTCTTCGTAGTCGCTGAAACTTATCGATACTCGCCGGAGCATTCCGGATAGAAGCGAACACAATGAAACTCGCAACGAACTCGGGGGAAAACTGCGTGCTAGCTTAAAGAGAGACCGCGAATACTAGTGGTCTCAGCACATCAGAGATGGAAGTGACCGTTACTCGAAGTAACTATCGGAAGTTATCCCATCTGATACGGAAAACGGGCAGCAGATCTGCTGCTAGGGAAACTATACGTGACAAGTGGACATACTACCCACAGCTTGTTAAATCGCCTGGGGCGTTTGCCTGTGTTTTGGAAGGCAATTTAATTGGCCGGAAATGTTAGATTCCTCACCCATCAGTAATCGCATGACTCTCTGGACCGTCCCTTTGGATTCACACTCTCGCTCAAAGTTCAAAGGATCCCGTCTTTGCTTTCTTTATATGATTTTACGTCCTTAAAGACGATGGCTCATTGATTCAATGCGACAATATTACAGACTGTTAAATACTCCCCTGACTTGTGTTGCCCTGTTGAAACGATCTACCTAAGAGCAGACAGACGCTTATCACTACTAAAGCGATTTCAAAGGATGAAAGAACTAGCATAAAAGCGCGATATGGCCACTCGCCTCTGGAGGCGAGTCTAGGCCATCGAACCTGAGAAAGAACAGATTGTACATGAGTGGTTCTAAATAAACATAGCAGTCGTGATCTGTGGAGGAGATTGAGGCAGCACTATGGTAAAAGTGCACGTAACCAGTGGTGAGGTGGATGTGCACAAATTAATCTCGGAGTTCATTTCCCCCTCATTAAAAGGGTCCCCTTCTATTAGCTCAATTACAGCTGCGTTCTTCACCAGGAGCTCAAAACACTCCAGGCAAACAAGCTAGAAGTCCGGATGCCATGTCGCCAGTAGTCTTTCATACTACCTTTAACAGCTCTCCTCAACAAATGCCCCACTAACGGTGTGATCGTAGACATCTGGAGATCGGTCAGAATAACCCGTGCCGCAAAATGGATCGCAAAAGTATCGCCCGATTGTGTGTATATCTGTAATGAAAAACCACTCCGTGGGTTTCAACAGCCATTCCCGCTGACGAAATCTGCCAGTCCGTATATAAACTCCGTCGCTCTTCATCAGATGCAGTATCGCAGCTTGTTCATTCTACAGCGTTTGCACTAGATCAACAATGCAAATCCCAACGGCTTCACTTGCTTGATTATTCAAATGCCTTCGGAAGTCCGGGTAGGCCGATGTTGCTCAATCTGCTTCCTGAAAATGGAGTTCCCTCGAGGGTAGAAGCTACTACGTGATTAGTTTAAGGATCATAATAACTTTACCCAGTTAAACGCTAAAAAATTGTTTATCGTAACGACTGTGGTATTTTGCAGGGAGTGCTCTCGTTACATGTTCAATTCTCCCTACATGTCAAACGTCTTTCTATACAACGCACGTTTATCTGGTGCAAACATGCGATGTTTGGTCTATTATGTAAGATCCCCACCATTCAAGCATCATCACTGCTTCAAGACGGATTACAAGAACTGGTGAAGTGATGTCTTCATCTAGAACATTACTCCTAACGTTTCTGAATGCTGATGTAAAATTTTCTCCTTGGTGATAAGTTGCTGTCTCTTAAGAATACCTATCTCACTGGCTGTCAGCGAAGATCCTCAAACCCAGGTCATACACCACTAGGTAGCTGGGTGCCTTTTTATGCTAAAACTTTCCTGTCCAAGCACATTTGTGAACCTTTCATAAAGATTAAAAAAACCTTAATATGCCCCCAGACTTAAGGTCCTTTCAGTACCTCGTACATTAATGTCTAAGTCTGTAGCCTCATTCATTACTGCTCCTTGTCAGGACTGCTTCAAAGAACTATACTTTATTAATACTAGTTGTAAAGTACATGTCTAGGTACAGCGGTTTGTCTAAAAATTATCTAGTTTCTGTGAGCATTCTTAGACGTGATTATGCCTGCAGCAAATTTTCTCTAAGTTCCTAAATGACTGAATTCATCCACTGTAAAGTTACCTTTAAAAACGCTATCTTCCTCTCGCGAAAAAGTTAAAGCTTTATTTTTACGCACTTCATCGTATTGTAATGCTATATTACTTCAGTCACGTTTGCTGGTTGACCCAAGGAGTCTGTGACAAGCTGCGTGAGCTAATGTTAGAGTAACGATTGTCTATGTGATTCACTTTTCCATTCGCTTATGTAACTTTTATGGGAACCAACTTCAAATACATTCGCAGCAGCAGTGTAAATGCCGATAAAGAACCAATATTGGTTCATAAAGCTGAGTTGGTATGACGACTTGAAAGGACCAAAATGACTAAAAAATGTGGTGCATACATCAAACGACCATTGCTGAAGACGTATATCCTTACGTTGGTTTTCCGTTTCATGGTACATCCTCTAAAATAGGCTGACAGGAGATAGCGGACAGGTCCAAGAACAACTGCGCTTTGGTAGTCGCCACGCTCCTCAGGATTGGTGGAAATCAAATCGTCGTTTGCAACTACCTGTAATTGCGCTCGATCAAAAAGCAGTTGCTCTAAATTGTCAATCGAGAGGTGGACTTGATTATCAGACGGAGGTGACATAAATAACATGTATTTCGGCCTCGCATCCAGTCCAAGTGAAAGACCTGTAAGGAGAGCAATGATTAGTAGTAACAGATATTCACTTCGGTCATAGGTTATTAGAAAAATATTCTCCAACAATTTTGTCAAATCCACTAAAACACTTTCATTCTCTTAAAAAGTGTTCATTGGCGAGTTGTGTAAAATTACCGGAAAGCTGCTTTGAATGGATGTACGTCTCCTGTCTTGACAGTAACTCAGCAAAAGGGTTGCTAGAAAGCTCCATTTAAAAAGACTTGTGAAAGCCCTAATCAGACCACACTTGACATTTGCCAGGAATCAAATACGTGACGTCCGTAAGGACAACAGAATAGGAACCATAACACAAAGCAGACGATACACCTCAGTACAGCCAAAGAGCACAAATCCCAAGGTTAATTTCAGACCAATGGACATAACCTTCCCCCGGTATGCTGACAAAATACATAGGGACTATTATATTATATACCTGGTCTCCATAGAATTTAGCCTATTTAAAAGAACTGTCCAAAAATTTGTTACGCGAACTCTTGTATCCCACCCGACTACAGTGTATTAACCTATATCCCCTAGGCTCGCCGACGTCGCGGAGACCACACCTATGCTAGGCGTAGCATACAAGGAGGACTGGAGAACGTGCTGAGGCAGATCTTCAGCTAAGACTTGGCAGTTCGACTCAAGGTCACAGCTTGAAGCTGTTTAAACCGGAGGTTTAAAGTTCGCTCAGAGATTGCTCTCTCCACTCGAGTAATTAAGGACTGGAATGGGCTACAGGAGCCGATTGCCAAGGCACAGTCAAAACCGAGTTTCAAAGGTTTGTTAGACATCTTCCTGCTGAGTACTCCAGAATACTGCAAGGCTGATACTACACCCTGGGCAAAGCCACAGCTTCTACGACTGCAATCCTTGGAAGCTCGTGAAGAGCAGCAGCTAACACAGGACCTCCTTCTGCTCTCTACTACCCAACGAACTCAATGAAGTACCATGCCCACCAAATTTAGCTTCTGTTTAGTTCCTAAAATTATAGAGTGCAGAAGGAAATCAGATGCAGGTTCAACTGGGAATGGAACGATAGGAAAATCACTTTTGTGTTCCTTTTTGAGAGGATCGTTGAGCCAGGAAATGTTAAGGCACTAGGATGTGTTGATGAATCTAAACCGAAACACTCGAACTGCACCCTGGTCAACCAATTACTGTTCAAGTTCCCTGCACTATAACTTGTAGGACTAGTTAATACTAGCCCGAGACGATGCGCGTAACTAAGCGCGGATATCAGAAGGCAATGGGAGTCGGACACAGCGGACTGTATTCGATGGGCTACAACAAGAAGCGGACGGATGAAGCGAGGCAAGAGCGTACACGTGAGCGCGGGGACTTACAAGGCAGTTGTGTGTCGAGCCGGTTGTAAGCTTAAAACAAGAAGGAGTAATGTACAATCGGTCAACAAGTAAATTGTACATGAAAGATAAGAGTTATCTTTTTGGGCGCTACAGAGCTCCCCCCCCTAGAAGGCTGAACATAGAAAGCCTTCGAAATCGAAAAGGAATGTTGAAACGGGGTTCGTGAGGCAAAATCGTGCCGAGTAAAATGAGCGTGCGTTCGTGTAAATGGGGGTTCGTCGGAAGTCGGAATCCGCTGTGCCGTTTATGACTTGTTATTTATTGAATGCAGGGCAGGGTGCATTTCGGCGAGCCGTTGGAGCGGGCTTGTCGGACTACAAAAAACTGGCTAGCCCAGAAAAGGGCAGACAGGACCTCAACCTCCGCTGCTGCCAAACGGTGCGCTTGGGAGTGGTCTCTCCCCCCGCCGCACCCCGCCCCGCGCCAAAACGACCCTCGTCCCACGAAGAAAACGACCATGGTCCCACGGAGAAGCGACCCTCGTCTCGCGGAGAAGCCATCCTCGTCCCGCGAAGGAGCGATCCTCGTCCCGCGAAGAAGCGATCCTCGTCCCCGCGGAGAAGCGATCCTCGTCCCGCGGAGAAGCGATCCTCGTCCCGCGAAGATGAGACCAGGGTTCGCGTCAGGGTCCTCGAAAACATTCCTCGTGTGGGCTAGTCGATCGAAGGGGAGGGTTGGGCATGTAAAGACGAGAAAGTAGAAAAACACGCGCAGAAAACGCCAAAAAGAACAAACGAATGAGCTGCGTGTTTAAATATTTTTTGGATTTTGAATATTTTTTCGAAAAAGGTTTTTCGGGGGTGTTTGATATTTTTGTTTGTTTTCAAAACGTTAATCGACCAAAAATGAGGCAAATATATTCAAGGACTACAAAGTTAAAAGTATTTACACTGTACATAGTCGAAGAAGCGAACGGGCTTACGTACCTCCCGACCACGGCGATTGGTCGTGGGAGGCGGCGGAATAGGTTCGGGAGAGGTTGGGACGGCATGTATACCGAGATCGTGGTCTGGTTGAACTGGACTAGGATGATGTAAGTTGGCGCGATGAGTTGTGACGTCGCACGTAGCACTTCCAGACGAAGTAGTCGAGGTGGATTCTTCCATAAAGGCGGGTTTTCTAGGTCGATCGTGACGACTTCGTGTCGAACATCACGGTCAATAATGTACGCCATACCCGCACGATGTAACACCTTGAAAAGTCCTATGTACGGCGACTGAAGAGGCCGTCGAACACCGTCTGCGCGAAGAAGGACGTGTGAATACCGTAGACAGCTTCTCGGGCACGTACACTGGTGTCTTCTGCGATCGAGGAGCGGGTGGACGTAGCTCACGCATCTGGTGAGCCAATCGGTCAGTGTAACTTCCGTAGTCAAAAGTGGAAGTACATGGGGCTGGTGCTACCAGCTGTCCGGGCAACCGCAGCGTGCAACTGTAGACTAGCTGCGCTGGTGTGGCATCGAAATCGGTTTTAACCGTGTTGCTTAAGCCTAGAAGAACGAGGGGAAGCATTTCAGAACATGAAGGATCTGCGTGCGCTCGTAGCGCTGCCTTCAACTGGCGGGGAAAAGGCTCCACCACGCCGTTAGCGGCCGGATGATACACCGTCGTCTGGACGTGGCGACAGCCTACATCCTTAAGCAACATGGCAAATGTGAACGAGAAATGTGACCCTCGATCGGTGGTCACGATGACGGGACAGCCGTATTGTGCTACCCAGCGCTCCATAAAAGCTTTCGCTACCGTTTCCGAGGAGCACTTTGGGATGGGGACGGCCTCAGGCCATCTAGTAAATTGATCGATGCAGGTCAGTAGATATACCGAGCCTTTGGAAGGCGGCAGAGGACCTACGAGGTCGACTTGCACGTGATGATAGCGTGCGTCTGGCATCGGAAACGTGCCTAATGGGCTTTTCGTGTGCTTGTGCACCTTCGCGCGTTGACACGGAAGGCAAGCAGCTGCCCAGGTACGGACATCCCGATTAACATTGCGCCAAACGAATCGATCGGTTACGAGTTTAACCGATGCACGAACGCCTGGATGAGACAAGCCGTGCAACGCGTCGAACACGGTCTGCCGAAACTCGCGTGAGACGACTGGGCGCGGCGTGCCCAGAGGTAAATCGCAGAGAATAGTACCGTCTGATGATGTCAACGAAACGGGTCGTATATCCAATGAGGAAGACCTGCGTAGTAGTTCAACCTCAGGGTCATTGAGTTGCGCTGTGGCCATGGCTGCCAAGTCGATAGCAGTGCCGGCGTCAGCGGAAATAGCTTGAATGCGGGAAAGTGCATCGGCGACGGGGTTGTGCACACCTGAGACATGCCGTATATTGGTCGTAAACTGAGCGATATAGTCAAGGTGGCGCGACTCTCTAGGAGAGTATCGGTCGGTAGTCGAGCCGAGCACGTAAGTCAGGTGTTTGTGGTCGGTGCAGACGACAAAGGAGCGGCCTTCTAAGATGTGTCGAAAGTGACGTATCGCTAGATATACGGCTAGTAGTTCTCTACCGAACGTGCTGTAGCGAGATTCGGTAGGTTGCAGACGTTTGGAGAAAAAGGCTAAGGGCTGCCACGTGTCGGCTACGCGTTGCTGCAAAACAGCGCCGACTGCGACGTCCGAGGCGTCAGTACTGAGGGACAGTGGGGCGGCCGGATCGTGGTGCGCTATAGAAGCTATGTTGGCGATAGCCTCTTTCAGCGACTTAAAAGCAGCGCTAGCTGCGGCAGAAAATTCGAATTTCTTGAGTTTCCCTCGGAGAAGGTCCGCTAGGGGTGGCATCAGAGAGGAGCAGTTGGGTATAAATCGTCGGTAAAAGTTGGCAAGATCATCAAAACGCCTGAGTTGTTTGAAAGAATGACGCTCGGAGTAGTCGATAATGGCTAGAATTTTATCCTGCAGTGGCACGACGCCTGCAGAAGAGATACGATGGCCCAGGAAATTAACTGAATCGACACCAAACGAACACTTTTCTGCGTTGATCGTCACCCCGTGTTGAGAAAAACGATCAAAAAGTGTTCGTAGGTGGCGCATGTGCTCTTCTCGTGAAGAGCTTGCGATAAAAATGTCGTCAAGATACGCGTAAGCAAAGTCTAAACCGCGCCAAACTTGGTCGATGAAACGCTGAAAAGTTTGCGCGGCGTTCTTTAGGCCAAATGGCATGCGCAGAAACTCGAACAAACCAAATGGAGTCGTCACGGCAGTTTTAGCGATGCCCGCTTCGGCTGCCGTAATTTGGTTGTATGCGCGTACCAACTCGATTTTGCTGAAGATATTTTTACCCGCCAGACTGGCGGTGAGATCCACTATGTGTGGGATCGGATAGCGATCATGCGTTTTTACCGTATTCAAGGATCGATAATCACCACAAGGACGCCAGTCCCCCACAACCTTCTTCGGGACCATGTGCAGAGGCGACTGCCCCATGGGCTGTTGGACGGTCTGACGATATCAAGTTGAAGCATGTGGTCAAATTCGGCTCGTGCTGCCCTAGTTTGTCTGTCGTGCGCTAACTGGTTGACCGCGCGTAACTATGTGGTGAGCGACCTCTGTCGTGACTGGTGGAAGCTCTGCAGCCGGTCGAACCAGTCGCGGGTGTTCGGAGAGGAGGCTCAAGTAGTCGGACGGTGCGTCTGCGATCCGAAATACAGGGATGATTATCGGGGCATCTGAAAGGACACCATCAACACCTAGTTTCGTACGGTCGTCTAAAAGTCTGTGGCGACCAGCATCAACAAGCAACCCAAAATGTCGGAGGAAGTCGATACCGATAATTGCGAAGGGTACAGACGCAACCATGAAGACCCAATGAAATTCTCGGCGAAGCTTGTGGTCTAGGTTCATCATGCGCTGACCGAATGAAGCTATCGGAGAACCGTTGGCCGCACGCAAATTGTACCTAGGCTCCGAGTGCTTGTCGCTAGCGGTCGCTGGGATGACGCTGACTTCCGCTCCCGTGTCGATGAGAAAGGTGATGGAAGAACGTCGATCCTTAACGTAAAACAGTCGGT